CTGGATTCCAGCTACATACTGCTGCTTGCTTCAACCTCTGCCTATTGTCTGCCATCAGATTGTCTATATTCTGTTGTCTACCTGCCTGCCAGTATGTCCAATGCTGCATTTCAGAATCTAGCTGTCTGTCTGCTTATTGCCTACTGTTACACAACCCTCTGCTTTACCAGCCTGTCCAAACTCTTCTGTTGGTGACTGCAAGAACATTTTTAGCTTTCCCGTTCTGCCCTAACTAGTCTCTTTAATTTCTGGGTATTAGCTTCCTTGGTCTGACTCTGCCTACCAATGACAAGCACCTGTTGAGATAATCTCCCAGTGTGCCACTAGATTTTTATTTCCTTGGGCCAACATTTTAGTAATTCCTTTTTACTCTTTCTTTTTCTTTGTTTCCTGTACATAGTCCATGGAGAGGAACTTTTTTTTTTTTTTAACATATCTTGTTTTCATTTATTTCTCTTCATTTCCTCTGGGGCTACTCTAGATCCAATCCTTACAACCTCATCTGGCAGGACTTAAGTTTTAGCTAGAGTTGAGCAGTGATGCCTCAAAGGGTGGCATCAGAGGATGAGAGAGAAGCCAAGTGGACACGAGCAGGGCTATGGTCTCTGTTCTCATGGTAACTTCAAACAAGTAAGCTTGATTTGTATCTGTTGTATGTTCTGTGAAATGTTTTATTAAAAAAAAAAATAACCTATATTATAGAAATGTTTGAAAATCAGTGTTCAAATTTCTTCTGCATAGACTAGTTGTTCTGCCAAACCAGCTCCTTAAAATACTCCTTTATAACATTTCTGCTAAAGATCTTTATCAGTTACTACCACTACACCTTACATTCAAATCTGTTTACATAGTAGGAAAATGCTATGGGGATAACCATGTTTCCTACTATTATTCAACATCTATGTTCTCACCATTCTAGTCAAGCCGCACTGGCTCCTCAACATTAGTGGTCAGTATTGTTTCCAGGCCATTCTATATGTTGTCTTTTCCTTACTTCCTTTCTTTGCTTTGCCTATTCAAGTCTGGTATCTGCTTCATAGCTCAGCAGCCCAAGTTTTCCCTCCTCCTAGAAAACTTCATTTATTCTGGGCCTAACTAATCTCACTCCTTCTCCATATTATGTTGAATTTAGAGTCAGTACCTCTGAGTGAGGCAGTTAATTTTTTCTTACTGTCCCCCACATTGGTCTTCTTGTTTGTTTTCTCAACTAGATTTTATACCTATTGATGGCAGAGATTTTATATTTTACAGTCTGTCCCATTACAAGTGTTTGTGTACCACGAATAACACTTTAGAAATTGGTAAATAGAAGAATGATGTCAAAATAAGGTGGAAGTCTAGATGGTTCATGAATGAATTGTCTTAGCATTTTAACTTTTGATGTGATCAGGAGTATGCTTTCTCACAATTAAGAAGTCTCGGCAATATATGAAGACTTTAAGAAAGAAGAATTTGCATAAAGATTCTGCTTCTTTAGTGTGACCCGTGAAGCTCTGAGTATTGATAATGAAACTGTGAAGATCTTTCACCATGTATTTTTAAAAAGTTGAGTCCTCCTCAATTAAACTGTTGATTCTGATGAAAATGACATCCATTAAAAGTGAATGCCCTTGAGGACCCACAGCGGAAAGGAGGAAGCATGAAGACTACCAAGCATTAATGACTGTGATGCTAGGTATGAAAGTCAGTGGAGGTTTAATCTCGTGAATGTTTTTATTAGGATAGTTATTGTTTTCATTAGTGCTCTGATTACAAACTTGCATTGGATTTAAGTGATCTTCCCTAAACATATTTCCCCCAGAAGTCCTGTTATTTTTAGTGTGCAATTTTGCAGAACAAGAGATTTTTCAGGAAGACATAAATGACAGTATAGTAGAATATCTGGTACTTTTTCATCTGCAAGACGTCTAGTTTGGTGTTGGCCATATAGTACATGCTTAATAAATACTTGTTTATTCTTAGGCAGCCTTTAATTCACAAATATTTTCCCATGATCCTGAAGGCAGTTACGTCACATATTTGCCTAATCCACATTTCCTTTCATTTCTCTATTAATGACCCAGATAGTTTAGATGAGAACACGCAGTAGAAGGGAGACAGAAAGCCAGAGAGAGAATATAAGGATCATCAGAAACCTCTGAGGTAATGGATGGGTCTAAGGTCAGTTTGAAGAAAGCTAGGGCCTAGCAGCCTTTTATCTTTGTTTTCTCCCAGGCCTGCTGTTTTAATGTTGACTGGGTGCTAAACTCATCAGAGGCCAGAAGGAAAGACCAAAAGTCAGTAGGTCTAAATATACTTTTGATATCCCAGCGGATGGTAATAGCCTTCTTGTTTCTTCAGTAAAGGAGAAAAGATGTTTCTCCATCCACCAGCTTATTTGTGTGTCCCAGGAAGGTAAAAATAAAGGAATGCAGTGCAATCAGATCAGCCCTAGGACTGCACTTGGTGAGGTGCTTGGTTCATAATCGGTGGACAATGTGTTCTTGCAACAGAGTAGTGGCTTCTTCCTGTGTTAAGTTCCAGGAGAGGCCAATGACCATGATGCCTGAAGGAGGGGTGTTTGTTTGTAATTACAGTTTACATTAACTGGGGCAAAATCCTGAAAAACAAACATCATGAATTAAGATGAGGCTGTGACACCACAATACAGCCAAATGTAACATAAAGAGTTTTTTACTTTTTGTGGTAAAGATTATGCATCTTTTATATGCACCTCTAATTTGCTTTTAGATGTAGCCTCGCCTGGCCTGAGGATATTGAAACCCAACCTTACATTCAAAATAATGGCCATCTAGTTTTAAGTCTATTTACACACTTCAAACAGAAGTCTTTGTATTATAATGCCTTCCCCCTTCTAAAACCACACCAGAGACCTACAAGTAGGGGCCTTCATGATTTGGAAGCTGCTTATCTGTTCTGCTTCTTCTCTTGCCAACAGTAGTCTCCGCCCCTCGCCCCCTATTTCCTAACCACAGGGTCTCTGCACATGCTATCATTATTTTGTTTGCCTGGAATGCTCTTCACTCTCCTGCTTTGCCTTATAATTTCTCAATACATTTTTACTTAATATCCTTCCCAATAGTCAGAAAGTTCCATAAGAGCAAACTACATCTATCTTGCTCACCACTGTACCTACAATACCTCGCATAGTACCTAACACTCAGTAGGCTGTCAACAAATACTTACTGACTTTAATTAGACTGTTAAGACTCAGCTCAAACATCATCCTCTTTGGGAAAGTGTTGCAAAGCCTCTGACACTCCAGTGAGTACTTCCCTCATACTCTCCAGGGCTCCCTGTTCATATCTGTTGTACTGAAGTGCAGTTCTTTAACAATCTGCCTCTCCCAGTAGACTGCAGGGTTCTAAAAGGCAGAAATGGTATCCGCTTCATCCTTCTAACCCATTACACTCCGTATATCACCTGGTATACTCTAAGGAGCTCAATAAATGTCTACTGAGCTGATTATTCAGCAACATTTGAGCTTGGAGAACCTCAACCATGACCTACATCCACATCTCTCAAACAGAAATTATATGAAAGCATTGCGTAAACAGGTCACATCTTTCAGCAGTATGCATTTGTATACAACTTTCCAGGAGGGAAGACATTTAAGTAATTTAAATCATGTGTATGCATGCATATGCATGTGCAGTGAGTCGAATTTAAAATACACATCAAATTTTAAGTCAAAGAGGACCTTCAACAAAGCAACTTTACCTTAGGGCTCCTTGTCCACTCTGTCTGGGAGCATGTGTTCCCTCTTCTCTGCTGTCCCTGGGTAATTTACCACCTGCATGATTTAAAAGACATGATTTTAATGACAAAGCTGGGATTAAAACTGTTTTGATATGTAACATTCTTTTCACTCTACTGTCCAAGTTAATTGCCTTATCACGCCTACAGCATGGTTGCATTTATCCTAATGCACTCAATAAATATGTCCCTAAACAAATTAGATTCAGCAGAGCTGAATTTAGGTTGAAGGAGAGAAGAGCAAAGGGAGATACATGAGCAACAGGCGTATGGACATGTTTAGAGCCTTGGTGTCTGAACTTAGATTCAGATAGCTTCCTTAGCATATGTGCTCTTATTTTATTATGGTGGTTCATTCAAATTCTGCTTTGCCCCTCTAATATCTTGGTATGAACATTATTTTTAAAGGGCCCTGTTTAAAAAGGATAGAAGAAATATTGCCTGGGCCTCTTTCTGACAACTCAAAGACTAAAGACTAATGATAACACAGTGTCCTGCTGCACAAAAACACCTAGCATTTGCCTAGAGATTTACCTTTTAAACAAAGTTTCTACACGCATAATCTTATTCACTCCCCACAACAACCCTAAACCTAAAGCAGTTCCAGAAACTGAAAACACTCAATCCAATTGTTAGCTCTCTATAGGTGCTTTGGTTAAGGAGCCTCACACCCCCTCAGGGATTAAGCAGGGGGTGCCTGCTGCTTCTATTACTCAGCAGCATGGGAATAAAGGAGGGGCTGTATTTCTTTGGCTGCAACGCAGTCATGGTAACAGAAAGCACCCCCACTTTCTGCTTTGATCCATACAGTCTGTCTAGGCAATTAATCAGCACTCCCCGTGGTGGTTTTCCTTTGGGATGCCAGTTGCCTTGCCAATCAGTCTCTCTCACAGAGTGTAGAGCAGGACCACACCCCAAGCAAGGCCTCTGCCCGGGAAGGTGCTCTGGCCTACACTAGAGAAGCCGATATTCGATATTCAGGTAGACCTGCTAGTAAAACACAGGTGGATACTCCCAGGCCTCAGTTTCCTCATCTCTAAAATGGGCTACACCTCCTCTCTCTCTCTGGACTAGTTCTCTCCCATTTCACGCTAGGCCCCTAGGAAGTGAAATCAGTGCTTAACCGCAGCTTAAAGTCCTCTGGTTGGGCTCCAGGTCTTGCGCCGGGCATGCTCAGTAGCTGGGGCCGACTTGGCACCCGGAGTAGGAAGCAGCTCTCAGCGCCCAGGCGGCTGACTGCGGGCACTTTGATGAATCACGTGTGTTGAGGCCCTCTTAAAGAGATAGGCACCAACTAATTTCTCCACCCTAAACACCGCCCTGAGGGCGGCGGCAGCGGTCGTGGTAATTGTATCTGCTCAGGGGCAAGGCTTGTCCTAGCGCTGAGTAGTGGCAACGGCGTGTGGCGTCTGGGGTGCCTGGGAACCCGGAGTACCGGGGGCCTGAAATCGGCAGCTTCGTAGGCATACACACTCCCCCTCGGGAAGAGGTGCTGCCGAATCAGCGCGGGGCAGCGGGACCGCCCCGAGGGGCTTCCTTAGTGGAGGAGAGGTGGGGTTACAGGGCACAGGTGACAGGGCCGGAGAAAGATGGAGCATCCCGGGGCGGCGGCGTCGGGAGCGGGAGGCGGCAGCGAGGAACCCAGTGGGGGCCGGAGCAACAAGCGGAGCACGGGGAACCGCGCCGCTAACGAAGAGGAAACGAAAAACAAGCCCAAATTGGTGAGTGCTCCCGCAACCCCCGCCGGTCTTGGGGACAGCGAGAGCCCCGGGCTCCTCCTGCCGTTGAGCACGGGAGACCCGGGGCCCCTTCCCAAGGGTGACCGCGACCTCGCTGTGCAAGTCCGGGAGCCGCTGAAGGAGCGGCCACGCCGAGGCGCGGAGACGGCGTGGGGGCGGAAGAGCACCCCCTTCTCCACTTAACCCCTTTCTCACTCTTGTCTGCCTGGGAGGCAGTGCGGGACGGGGAGAGGCCCCAGCCCAACTTGGGGAGACCCAGAGTACTGGGTAGGGTCTGTTGTTTGTCTAACTTGTGGGCACGAATCTTCTTTGCGCGATTCCATTCCCCTCCCACCCCTGTCAGTTGCTGGGTTTTGCCTCTTTGACGCTTAGGGTCGGGGCAGGGAGACCGCTCCTCTTTGCAGTCCAAATACTTGGGAGGCTACCCACGGACTTGCAAATCAAAAAACAAATCCTATAAAACAAAAATAAAACACAACGTAGGCCCCCAGGCTTTCTGCTTTACCAGAAATCTAAGGAAGAGGCGCCTACGTGCGTCCCCGCCCCCCACCTTGCCTCTCCATGTGCTTTCCCGACACATTTCTTTGGAAGAGTGGAGGGAGCGTGGGAGTCGGAGGCTGGGTGAAGTGCCACCAACTGTCGTGTGTGTAATAGGTACAGGCATACAGCACTTCCACTTAGTTGGTTAAGAAGGCATGAGTCTCACGGTCCTGAGTGTGAACCAGTGGTAGCAGTCCATTTCCTGCCACTGACTTAATGTGCAGGGGAATGAAATCTATGGGGCCCGCTATTAGATTGGGAAATACTAGAGTTTCCTCAACTCATCAGTTAAAAGGGTTCCTCTTTTTCGGTAAACTTTCTAATTCGGGTGGCATGAGGGGAAACGGTTTTTCTGCACAAATTCAGCAAAATGCTCCTGTCTGGACGTTCTTAGTATAGCTGTGAAGCACAAGCCACATGTTACTCATCTAGTTTTCAGTTTTAACCAGCAACTTGATTATAATTATACTTAGAAAGGAGACGGTGATTTTTAACTAAAGACATTTCTTATGGCATCAGACCATTTGGATGTACCTGTTATACTTCCCTCTCTTGCCTCCTATTTGCCTTTCAATTATGGACTATCCATATTGGAAAACAAGTGGTCAAAGCATTATAGTTTAAGGAAATATGCAGCCTTCCATTATGTGGGAAAGATTGGGTAGAATACAATGACAAGTTTAAAGTCTCATCAATTCCACCGTAATTTGAGGCAAATTGAGAATTTACTTACTTGATGTGTCCCGCTACCCCATTGTTTACAAATGAAATTGAACCACAAGGTCTTTGTGAATTGTCTATGCTGGGTTTAATGGGTGCTGCCACCATCGTGAAATTTAGAAGTTTTGTGAGTCTATCCCCCAAGTTTAATATATTTAAAAGTTCTAATGCTGTGATTTTGAAATTTATCAGTTTGTGGTAAAAGTGATCATATTTCCTTTTTTTTTTTTTAACCCAGCACAAACTGTGGTTTAAACAGTGATTAAAAGTTTAAACAAAAATAAAAGTGAACTAAGAGTTTCCACAAATGGTTTGGTACATCTAGCAAGAACCTTTCACTTTTAGGAAGTATGATCTCAAGAGAAAGCACTTATCTCTGTTAGTAAATAACACCTTGATTATATTCTTCCCTTTCCTTTGGTCATTTGTCCTGTTTTATCTTTTATGTTTTACTTGCTTTGACAAGGTAACTAGATAGTTATGAGATAGTATCACTTTCAGTTCCTAGCTAACACTGTTAGATGTTAAACATAGCTTGATATAGGAGAACAAGTGTTTGAATCCAGTCTGTTAATATCGGTGGAAAATTCTTTTTGCTCAAATAACTTGAGCCTTACATGATTTTTACAAGCAGCTGTGTCAGTTAATAAAAACAAATTTAGGAAGATATTTCAGCACTTTTTATTTAGGGCACACAAGTTGACCAAACAAGACTTGGTAATTTTTTTTTTTTTTTAATGCCTACAGCACCTGGTCGTCCTAGGTGGTCTCCCATCCAAGTACTAACTAGACCTGACCCTGCTTAGCTTCCGAGATCAGATGAGATCAAGCATGTTCAGGGTGGCATGGCCATAGACTAATTTTTTTTTTTTAATGAATAACTTACTCCTTATTTTGAGTTGTCTTATTGAAGTACTCAACATTTTCTTCTGAGGCCTTTCAGAGAAGGGTTCATCTGGGACTCTTACTTTAAAATATTGCTAGCAAGATAAAGCTTTACCTAGACTAAATCTTATTGTTTTGAGTATTGTTATTAATCAGTGTAATAGTCCTTAATTATGTGTGTGTGTGTGTGGATGTGCACATGTGGGTTTATAAAAGAGCCATATGGAAATTAACTATGGGATGTGAACACACAGTGTAAATATATCTATACCTTACTGTTAAAGTGTACAGCTGAAACTTATTGAATTTCGTTAACCAATGTCACCATACAAAATAAATAAACTAAAAAAAAAAAAGCCATATGGTAATAGAAATTATTTGTATAGGTGATTGTGGAGGATAGTTGTTCTTAAACTCCTGAAATTGTATGAAAAAATTTGAGTGTATGATGCGTTTTTCTGGACCCCATAGCTTTTATAAGTTTCTCAAAGGCATCTGTCTTATAGAATAAGAACTCTATAGAAGAATAAGAATAAGAAGAATAAGAATTGGGTTACCAGCGAGAGAGAATAAAGGAAATGCCAATTGATTCTCCTTGAAGTTATTTGGGAGAGGAGGAGGTCAATGATGAAGGGAGAAGGGAAATAGCACTGACCACACGAGTGATTGATAGTGAAGATAATGCACCTGGGGGGTAAAAAGTTAATTACACAATGTTAGTATAGTACTAGCTAAGATGAAAGTTTCCACTATGTAGAAAAATTAACTCAATAACTATAGTGTAGTGAATTCATAAAGTATAAGGCTTGTGATTCACTTGTTTTCATTTAGTTCCTCATTGTTCTGGAAAACTGGAGAAGGAAGGCATGTTTTCTATAGAGAGGAAATGCAGTCTCATACCCTCAGCTATTGATGGGTATTAGTTTTTACAGAGACATTTCAGTACTTAATGACTTCTGCTTAAGATGAATTAAATCAAAATTTAACTATTTGCTTCAGTCTTCATCTCTGCATCCTCATAACGGCCGTTTTATTTTGATCCATTTTAACGAAGGCAACCTTGTTTTGGACTCATCACATTTTGAATGCTGCATTAGTAGTAGAGCTTTGTATTTTATGTAACTCTGGTTAGGCCCAGATTGTAGCATCTCATTAAACAACATGAATCTTAGATTATTAAAATAGTTATTTGATGTCAACCATGGAATGTATTTTTTTTGTCAAAGTAGTAAAGAGAGCTCTAGAAACGTTATGATTGAATCCTGCATATTTAGGTCAGTGACTTAACCATTAAGAGAGGCTAGTGTTATGGTAGATCTAACACCCCTCACACACAAACAATGTGTAGAATGGCTTAACATTCTTTGGTGTTTTTGTGTTTTGACTTTGTGTTTCTGTATAATTTCTGAAGCCTTTGGTGTTTAGTTAGTAGTCAAATGAGTAACCTGAAGTAACAAGTTAATATTCTGGTTATTATATAACTTCCTGAGTATTTGGTTATATGTTTTTAGTTGGATAAATCATGTTTTGATTTTAATTGATAAAGTCTGAACTTTATGATTTCATTTCTGTAACAAACATGTACTGAGCACCTACTACGTGCTAGTCATTATTCTGAGGGTTGGTGATATAAGGAGAGGGAATGAGGGAGACAGGGAAGTTAATTAATGATTAAAGAGCTATTTGATGAGGAATGATTGGAATATGCATAGGAGGGTGTTGTAAAAACATCATGGAGAGGCATCTAAATCTAATCGGATGCTTAAGTGTGGTAAGGAAAGGCTTATATAGTAGGTGACATTTGTACCAAGGCTTGTAGAATAAGCCATTATTTGAAGAATGAAAGGGGAAGGCATTTTAGGTTGAAAGAACAACATACAAAAGTAGAAATGATAACGCCCAATAAAAGAACTACAGGTAGATGTTAATGGCTGAAACAAAGGGTATACATATGGTGGACCTATTAGAAAAGAGAATCCAGATCATGATGGATATTTGTATGTTAGAGGTTCAACTTTCTGAAAGCCATAGTAAGCCATTGAAGATACGTAAGCAGGAGTACTGACCAGATCACAATTGTGTTTCAGAAAGGAAGAATGCAATGGAGAATTTCTTGGAGAGGGGTGGCAGAATGGAGGCAAGAAGACCAGTTAGGAGAAGCAGAGTGAAGTTTAGAGTTAGAGACCTGGATTCCAATTGCAGCTAATCGCTCATCTATTTACACGCTCATCCACTTACTGGGCATCTTTTTCTGCATCTGTTTCATCCTGCCACTTCAT